AGGGGGAACTCGTTTAACTCTGCAGCTGCCTGGGAGACACAGCACACCCAGCACACAACTGCACCATCATTCAGCATGGAAAAGAGCTCCGAGACCATCGAGTCCAAGGCCACCACCAACCCAAGTTCCCATGTGCCACATCCGCGTGGTTTTAAATCCAGTGCCAGCTCCACAGGGACCACCGTGACTGATTCAGCCCTGAACCTCCTGTCCATCCTGGAGCATTTCTAGAACAGGATGGGATGAAAATAAGACAGGAAAAAGCAGGTTGGTGTCCCAAAGATGGAGCCAAAAGCTTAGGAGAGTTTGTTTCTATTTTAGGCTTTCTCCCGAGTAACAAAGGATGCAGCCGGAAAGAATCTGGGACAAGCAAAACAAGTCACAAGAAAACTCATGGCCAAGAGGAGCTGATGTCCAAACTCTGTTGGGTGAATCCAGCAGCCAATTCTGCTCCCCCTTGCCAAAGAATGAGGGCCTGGAGTGGCAGGACAAGGGGGACCAGCTTCAAACTGAAAGAAGGGAGAATTAAATGAGAGATTGGGAAGAAATCCTTCCCTGGGAGGGTGGGCAGGCTCTGGCACAGGTGCCCAGAGAAGCTGTGGCTGCTCCTGGATCCCTGGAAATGCCCAAGGCCAGGCTGGATGGGGCCTGGAGCAGCCTGGGACAGTGGAAGGTGTTGGGGTTGGAACTGGATGGGTTTCAAGAACCTCCCCAACCCAAACCATTCTGGTTCTGTGATTCAATCAGCTGCAGCTCTCCAGCAGTGACACAGGTGCTGCATCTCTGGGTGTGGTCATGATTCCAACAACTGTTTTGTAAACAATTCAAGGGTTAATCAGACTTCTTACAAAAACATGACAATACTCCAGGACACAATACACACACAGTGACACAGAACTTCAAATCCTACCAATGTTGGCAAACGGGCTCGGGCATCTTTGGACTCCTGAATACAAAACCGAGGGAGTTGTGCTGTTATCCAGGAGGGAAGAAGCCTCTCCCAGCAGCACCAATCAACGCCCATCCCAATGTCCAAATCCTCTTGCCTCGAGCTCTGGCAAGCTTTGCCCTTGTGTAATCGTGTGTTTTGTAAGTGTTGCTTGTTTCTCTGCTTTTCTTATAAAAAGAAATAAAGAAATTCTCCAGGCAGATAAATTCCACCCAATAAATGTGTCGCTCCTCTATCCCCGTGGACATAATAATGCCCTCACTCTTGTCCCAACTTGGAGCGCTCACAGATCACCACTGTAAATAAATCTGCCAACCTCAGGCAAGCAACTCATTTCTAATAAAGCCTTTTACCTCCTTTCCTAACGCCAGACAAGATCCCTGAGCAGCTGAGTGCCCGAGGGATGGCAGCTCCCATCCTCTGTGCCAGCCCATCCCGGTGCTGCCACAGGGCTCCTGCCCTGGGATAGCTTTGGGGCTGGATTTCTCCATCCTGGTGCCACCCTGGGGCTTCTGCCCTGTGTTTTCCTGGGATAGCTTTGGGGCTGGATTTCTTGGCTGCCAGTGTTGCTGTGGGGCCTGTGCCCTGTGCTTCCTGGGAAAGGTTTTAGGCTGAATTTGTCAGTCCCGGTGCTGCCGTGGGGCTCATGCCTTGTGTTTTCCTGGGATATTTTGGGGTTGGATTTCTCCATCCTGGTGCTGTTATGGGGCTCATGTCTTGTCTTTACCTGGGATCAATTTTGGGGCTGGATTTTTTCATCCCAGTGCTGCCATGGGGCTCACGTCCTCTCTTTACCTGGGATGTGTTTTGGGCTGGAACTCTTGGTCTTGGTGCTACCCTGGAGCTCATGCCTTGTGTTTTCCTGGGATATGTTTTGGGCTGGATTTCTTCATCCCAGTGCTGCCATGGGACTCATGTCCTCTGTTTACCTGGGATATATTTGGGGCTGGATTTCTCCGTCCCAGCACTGTCAGGGGGTTGGTTTGTTCCTTGTTTTTTCCTGGGATATGCCTGGGGCTGGATTTCTTGGTGCTGGTGTCTCCCCGGGGTTCGTGCCCTGCATTTCCTGGGACAGGTTTTGTGCTGGATTTCTCAGTCCCAGTGCCACCCTGGGGCTCGTGCCCTGTGTTTACCCAGGCTGTGTTTTGGGCTGGACATCTCCCATCTCCCACCCCATCCCAAACACTGCTCCCATTGATGCCGCGGGGCCAGGGCGATGCCGGGCCGGGCATGGGGGGGCTTTGCCTGCCGAAATTCGGTTCTGGCTGGGTGTTTAATATTCCCCATCATGCTGGGCTGTTTCTGCTCGCTGCTGCCTGTCAGTTAAGCCCGGGGATGTTTATTTTAACGGCCACTTGTGGTCAAGGCTGGTGCCAGTTGTACGGCATCGGTTACGCAGATTTAGCGCTGGGGACTCGGCCCCCGGCTCCCCGAGCACGGAAGGCAGCCAGGGCTGCCCGGCCTAATGCGAAACAACTGAACTCTTCCAGCAGTCCCTGCTCCAGCTTTTAACCCTTGCTGGGCAGGAGCTGGCTGCTTCCACAGCTCAGCCTTCCCACATCATCCCATATCCTGGCCCTTGTCCCATCTCCTGCTTCCCAAACTCCCCCGGCACCCACATCTCCGGGTGATGGTCTGAAAGCACCAGAAGGAGCAGGGAATGTCCTCACTTGTTTAAGGAAGCAGTTTTCAGAGGAAGGAGGGGATTTTTATTGCTCCCATGGATTTATCATTACTCCAAGGATACAGTACACTGCTGGGAGCGATCACAAATTAATTGAATTAACTGGAAAAGTCCAAGCTGTGACCAATCAGTACCTGATCAAGCAGAGGAGAGCACTGAGGATGCACAACATCCCTGCCTGGTGGGCTGACACGTGCTTGGGACACAAATCCAGGCCAGGCCAGGTCTGACAGGAGCCTGGCCCGGGCACAGGCCTGTCCCCAGTCCCAAACCTCGTGGAGAGCGTTTGGGCAGCGCCAGGCGAGCCCCTGCCAGAGCCGCGCCGATGCTCAAATGTTAAATAACCCGGAGCCCGCAGCAGAACTCTGCATCATTTCTGATCGCCTGGACAGGCTCCAAGATGCTAATCAGCCCCAGATTAAGTCATCAAGCAAACTGATGAGCAATCACATTCTGTCAGTCCAGCTGCACAGCATTACTCGGGAGCCGCGCTCCCGCCGGAGAGGGAAGGCAGCTTTGTGCCGTGGATCCGATGGGAAGGAGGGCTCGGAGGAGCTGTGCTGAGCAGCAGCTCCAGCTCCTGGCCCTACTTCTGCTCCCAAAATTTGCCTCTTATCACTCCAAGGTGATAAAGGTGGCCGTGCCCAGCCTGGTCTGGTGGCACGCGGCTGCTCCCAGAGCATCCTGGTGTTTTCCTGAATCGCAAAGGGCAGCTTTGTTTTCCACGGAGGAACATCAGCCTGTGCCGGTGCTTTAACTGGACCAGCAAAGATGCTGATAATAACTGTGAGGGACAATAATTAACAGAAACCCGTTAATGGTGAAGCGCATGGAGAATTGATGCTTAAATCCCAGTTCCACTCGGTGGGAATCTGGGAAGGGGAAGAGATTCCAGGCTTGTTCTCAACATAACCCCACTGGGCTTGCAGAGTTCTCACCCAGAGAGAATTTTATTCCTAAATAAATCAAAACAGGAGGAGAAGCAGCCTAAATGTCCAATAAGGAGATGAAAAAAAACCCCATCTGGAATAAAATAAAATAAAATAAAATAAAATAAAATAAAATAATGTAAAATAAAGTAAAGTAAAGTAAAATAAAATAAAATAAAATAAAATAAAATAAAATAAAATAAAATAAAATAAAATAAAATCTCAGCATAAAATAAAATCAAATACTAATTCTGATTTTTTCTGCTCTAAAAGCAAACACATACAAATCCTTTCCAATACGATTTCTACTCATATTTTAATACTGCTGGAATTTTATGATAAAATAAATTAAAATAAAATAAAATAAAATAAAATAAAATAAAATAAAATAAAGTAAAATCTCAGCATAAAATAAAATCAAATACTAATTCTGATTTTTTCTGCTCTAAAAGAATAAAATAAAATAAAATAAAATAATGTAAAATAAAATAAAATAAAATAAAATAAAATAAAATAATGTAAAATAATGTAAAATAAAATAAAATAAAATAAAATAAATTAAAATAAAATAAAATAAAATAAAATAAAATAAAATAAAATAAAGTAAAATCTCAGCATAAAATAAAATCAAATACTAATTCTGATTTTTTCTGCTCTAAAAGCAAACACATACAAATCCTTTCCAGTATGATTTCTACTCATATTTTAATACTGCTGGAATTTTATGCAGTATTTGAATACTGGAAATGAATTAACTGGAGCTGCTGTCAGGGAATTGACTCTTTTTACAGATCTTGGACACAGCACCTCGTCTCCAGCCATCCCGTCCCTGTGGTTTTCCCATCACTTTTTTTGGCTCCATTGGGAGCTCCCCTCCCAGGACGATTGTTTGCCTGGCTGTGAACACCTGGAAAGTCACAGAATCCCTGGAGGGGCCAGGCTGGAAGGATCCACATCGGGAATCTTCTCCCACCTCCCTGCTCAAGCAGGGTCATCCCAGAGCACGGGATTGTGCCCAGACAGCTCTGGAATATCTCCAGAGAGGGAGATTCCACAACCTTTCTGCAGGCACACAGGGAAGGGGGATGATGACATTTAAACCAGGGCAATGACCCATGGCCTCTTTTCAATTCCTTCCTCTAAAAATAAAAACAAAAGATTAAAAAATTAAAATAAAAAAAAATTAAAATAATTAAAATAAAAATAAATAAAAGAGAAGAAACTCCGCATTTCAGGGCAGGTGATGGAGATGAAACCAGGACACAACGTCAGACGCTTGACAACAGAACCCTGGGAATAGCAGGGCCAAGCTGCACCGTGTTAAAATTCAAGGCTAATTTAAAATCTTGTTCCTTAGTGCAAAAGCTGGAAAGACGCCCAAGCAGAGGGAGGAGGGAAAAAATAATAACCAAGCCAATTGTATATTTCTCCTAGAAATTCCATGTCAGGAGGTACCTCAGGACTGCACCCGCGGGCTCCAATTTCAATAAATCAACACAGCGTGCGGGGCAACGGTAGCACAAAGTCCTGCTCCCCCTGCAGAACCCGGCCAGGTAAAATCACCAGGAACAAAATGCCCATTCTTCCTGCTCCTTGGCAAGGGGACAAATTACTTTCTGCACCTCGCTGTGTTGAAGGAGTGGTTATTAAATGCAGTCGGAGCCGCCTCTCCAGCTGTACTCAAAGCCAGCGCGGAATCGGGCAAGCGCCGCCGGCTGCGGGGAATCCAGGGAGCCACCCCCGTGTGCTTCCCTGCCCATCCAAGGGTTTAAATGATTGGGATTTGGGGTCGGGGGAAGCTGGAAGGACAGGGGGATGGGTGCTCCGAGCTGTCTCATCCCAAACGTGTCCACACACGGAAAATCACGGTGGTTTTGGTTGAAGAGGAGCTCGCCCGTGTCTGGGACAGAGTTGTGTGGGAACCATGGAAATGGCAAAGAAGGGAGGGATCAGAAAGACTTGGGAGAGGAGGGAAAAAATGGGTCTGGCCCTAAAACACAAGGTTCCATCAGTAATTTGAAGAGGGCTGTCCCCATCTCTCGATTCACCACCTCCACTGTCCCCCCAGAAGGACATTTCACACCATTTCAACCACAAATCATTTTACATTTCCTTTACAGTCAGCCCCTCTCCTCTGGTGTCACTTTGTTACTGGATTGCACCAGAAGCTCCAACTCCAGACATTATCCCGAAGGATAAAGAGAAAAGCCAGGGTTTGGAGCCCTTGGAACTCAGCGCTGAGAAGGAGAGAGTTGGTGGGAACAAAAAAATGTAAATCGAGATTTCTGTAACAGATTTACCTCTTTCTACCTCTGGAATCTGAATTGTCATCGAACCTCCCAGCAGGTGGGATTTTGGCAAGTTCTGAGTGAGAGAAATGGGGATTATTCCAGTCACAACCAGCACGTCCAAGTGGTCACTGGGTCTGACCCATCCTGGAAGCCACACACCAGTGGGAGATGTCCCACAGCCGGTGACCCTGAGCGCTCCAGAAACGCAGCAGGGAAAAGTGGAGACTTCAGGATCCAACTGTTCCATAAAAAAAAGCAGCCAGCCCAAATTTGGCCACGGGCTCGTCCTTCAGGAATGCCTGCACGCAGCACTCAGTGCCCTGGCCGGTGACAAGGTGATGCTCAAGGTTCCTAAGGTTGGCTCAGTGATCTTGGATTTTGGGATTCCAGGATTTTGGGGAGCGACCGAACACAACTCGTAGGAAATTTGGTTTTTTTCTGTGCAGCATTTCTGCACAGACACAAACTTTCCCTGTTTGTGACCCCTCAGCTATTTGTTGGGATTAAATTCCATCTTTAGCTTGCCACATAAAACACCTCGGAGACTTTGTGCCTTCCATAGAATATTCCAGAAGGCAGATTCTCACCCACACAGCGCCCTCCAAGTGCACCCCAACCCCAAAAGAGAGCTGCTAGAACCTCTCTGCTAGAGATTAACATATTCCCAAGCTCATGCATTAATTAAAATAAAATTAACACGCCCGTAAATAAAACTCCTGAACAGAACTGGCCACCAAAACATCTTCAGTTCAGCACAGCCAGCAATTTCTTCCTATATTTAGGGAAAAATTAGTTATAGAGCTGACCACTGCTTTGTGTTAATAACAACATTCCCAAGGATTGGGAAGGAACTGGCAAATCTGGGAAGCCCCTCGGGGTGGGATGGGCAGGAGAATCAGTGGCTTCGCTCTGGATGGAGGAGCCAGTGTGGAAAAACGTGCAGAGAGATAATTTTAATTGGATTTAAGAGCTGGGACCACTTCAGATGCCTGAAGTGCAGATCTCCCACCTCACAGATGCCATCCAGGACCAAACAAAGCTCATGGGGAAATAATTTTTTCCAAAAAGAAGGAATATTGGGAATGCCGGTGTTGGAGAGCGAGGCCAAAGGCAGGGAGCTCCTCCCATGGCCTCTCCCTAAAAACACAGCTCAGGTGGAAAACAGCAGCTGCTGAAGAGGAGGAGGAATTACTGCAAGGAACTCAGGATAAGTTGCCACAGTCAGTGGAAAGGAAAGTGCCCAGGGCATGGAATTTACTGGTGTGTAATCAATAAAAATACCCCACAATGATTCTGTGTCACATTACACCAAAACGCCTTTTTCTCATGTCAGTGGTGGAAAACTTCCATTTAACCATTAATTTTAGGCTGAAATCCTCAAAATCATCACAGCTGAATTCTAAAAAGTGACAGCTTGGGTGATTCCTTTTTGAAAACCCTCCTGCTGCGTTGAAAACCCTGCTCCTCTCTGCATTCCCAGAGAGAATTCCTCACGGATCACTGCCGTGAATAAAACACTGATAATTCCCTTCCAGCCAGCTCCCAGATGGCAGGCAAGGGGTTAATCCTGGGCAGGCTGCAGCTTTATGGCTGAATTAGCTCCCAGCCCAAAATGAAACACCGGCAAAGCTGTCCTGCATTAAGGGCACTGGAACTCCATAATAATTTATGAACTGGACTCTGGTTTTTTACACCCCGGGCAAACAATGGCGAGGCAGGAGGTCCGAGGAAGCTGAGGGTTAAAGGTGATTTTGTATTACCTGAATTCCCTTCAATAACTCAACACATGACCATTAGCCTGCTTTATCTGCCTCTATTAAGAAGAGCTGATGAAAAGTTTTAATCTGCTTCCCGATGGCTCCGAGCACTGGGGGAGGGACAGGAGATTGTTTTGGTTGGGAGCATGGGAATACACCAAAAAAAAAAAAAAAAAAATTTTTTTTTTAAATTTTAAAGAGGGGAGTGGGGGTGTCCAGCCCCCAGCAGGGGTTGAGGGATTGACAGGCTGTGGGTGACACTGCTCTGTCCACAGCTCAGCCCAGGTATAACTGGGATAATATCCCAGGGATAACTGGGATATCAGGTTGGAATTCCTCCCTGCCAGGGTGGGGAGCCCTGGCACAGATTCCCAGGGCAGCTGTGGCTGTCCCTGGATCCCTGGAAGTGCCCAAGGCCAGGCTGGATGGGGCTTGGAGCAGCCTGGGATAGTGGGAGGTGTCCCTGCCCATGATCCTTAAATTCCCTTCCAACCCAACCATCCCTTGAAAACATCAATCACAAATTACCAAATGTGATAAATCACATTTTTCCCTACATCAGGATGATTTGCTGCACATTCCCTCGTGTACTCCCCACTGCCCCAACACCAGCAAGGGGTTCCTGGTTTTACCAATCCCACCCTGCACCCTCCTGCTCCCCAGACACACATCCCAGGGCTCTCCCTTCTCCTCTCTCAGGACACAGGAACCCGGCACCAAAAACTGAGCAAATTGATCCCACTTTGCCCCAAAACACCACAACTTTGGCAAAAAAAGTGCCAGAAAGAATCCTCCCATGGGCTGTGTGTGTGTGGATTTCAAAGCAGGGAGGTTTCCCCTGCTCCTCCTCAGCTTGGCACTACTCTCACCATACAACAGGTTTAATTCCTGGAGGAGAAGATGAGGAGAGCATTGCCCAGGGAGAGGGGAATGGGATCTCTCCCACTCCTACAGCCTCAAAACCTGCCCCCAGCTCTTCTGGCAGCACGTTTTGAACATCACCTCCAAACCTCCAGGCCCTCGTGGTGCATCCCTTCCAAAGGAACCGGGATGGAATGATCCCAGTGGATCCCCCAGCCCCACCCTGTAGCTCCAGCCCTCGATGTCTGTGTGAGGATTAAAATAAATAAAATAATTAAAAATTAAATAAAATAAATTAAATAAAATAAATGAAATTAAATAAAAATAAAAAATTAAATTAAATAAAAAAAAAATTAAAATTAAATAAAATAATTTAAAAAATAAAATAAATAAACAGCAAAAAATGGGAATTTATTCTGGGAAAAAATCAATAAACTGGAGACCCTGGGAGGGAAATAATTAATTTATTCATCTATTTATTTATTTCTTTATCTGGGTATTATTTTTTTATTAATTTATTTATTTGGAAGTTGATTGCTTATTTCTTCATTTGGACGTGGATTATTCATTTATTCCTTCATATTGGAAGTGGATTATTTATTTGTTTGTTTGTATGTGGATTATTTATTTATTTACTTATTTATTTATTTGGAAGTTAATTATTTATTCATTCATTTGGACGTGGTTTATTAATTTATTCATTCATTTGGAAGTGGACTGTTTATTTATTTATTTATTCCTTCCTTTGGAAAGTGGATTATTTATTTATTGATTCATTTGGAAGTGGATGATTAATACATTTATTTATTTATTTATTTATTCATTCATTCATTCATTTATTTGGAAGTTGGTTATTTATTTATCCATTTGGACGTGGATTATTAATTTATTCATTCATTTGGAAGTGGATTATTAATCCAGTCATTTATTTATTTATTTATTTATTTATTCCTTTGCACGTGGATTTATTTATTTATTCATTCATTCATCTGGCAGTGGATTATTTATTTATTCACAAAGTCGAGCCAGAGGCACCTCCTGCCTTAAAGCCTCTTTACAAACTCGAGCCACTGCTTAAGGAGAACAAATTGGGGATGTTTAAGGAACTTCCAACAGAAATAAACCCTAAAAATAAATTACATTTAATAATAATAAACTATAAAAAATAAATTAACTAATATTGCTAAATTAACTAAGTAAGAATAGGTTAAAATAATTCAAGGTGACAAATGGGAGACCTTCAGGACACCCAGTGCACACTCCCAGGGCAGATTATTTCCCTCTGCAGGCACATCCATCATCCCGCTGACATTCCCAGCAAACACCAACACGGAAACTCCTCCTCGGGGCTGAGTTTTCGGGAGAGCGGAGGCGAGGCTGCCTCAGCTCAGGGGGAGATGGAGCTGGGATTTACCCTCGGCACGGGACAGGGAATCCAGGAGCTCTGGGAAGGTGGGAATGCACATCCCAGCCTGTCCCATCCTGGGGGCAGTGGCCACCCTGTGACCAGGACAGGGACCCCGGGACAGCCACCGGCCACAGCCCGGAGCCTCGGAGCAGGGGGTGTGGGATGGGACCACTGACACTCGCTTTGGACCCTCCCATTCCCATTCCTTTTCCCATTCCCATTCCCATTCCCCTTCCCATTCCCATTCCCCTTCCCATTCCCACTCCCCTTCCCCTTCCCATTCCCCTTCCCATTCCCACTCCCCTTCCCCTTCCCATTCCCATTCCCACTCCCATTCCCATTCACCTTCCCCTTCCCATTCCCATTCCCATTCCCATTCACCTTCCCCTTCCCATTCCCATTCACCTTCCCCTTCCCATTCCCATTCCCATTCCCACTCCCATTCCCATTCACCTTCCCCTTCCCATTCCCACTCCCCTTCCCCTTCCCATTCCCCTTCCCATTCCCATTCCCATTCCCATTCCCATTCCCATTCCCATTCCCATCCCAGTAAACCAGCAGGAACAGGAGCCCTCCACCCCCTCTGCTCTGGCCCATCCCAGATGGCTCCAGCACCGCCTTCCTGGTCCAACTAAACCAACCCCATTCGGATTAATCCCGGCTAGCACAAAGTCTGGAAGGAGCTTTATTTGCTCGGATCCCAGGCCAGGAAGTTGAGGACAAGGGGACCAGGCTCCTGCAGTCCCCTGGGATGGGCAGGACAGCGCCAGGGATGTGCAGCTTCCATGATTTCCCTTCCATGGGCTCCCCACTAAACCCCAGGGTGACCACAGAGGAACAGGGGATGGCACACAAGGTCAGAGCACCCCAATTTCTACAGGCCCAGACCACAGAAGCTCTAAAATATAACCCTGGGGTGCTTAGAGCAGCCTGGAGCCCAAAGGACAGGGTTAATTTAATTTAATATTAATTTAATAAGCGGTCCTGCAGGTACAAACAAGGTGGGAAAGGCAGGGGAGCTGCTTTTCCTTCCCAACGACTCCGCAAGGGTCAAAACATCCCTGCCCTGTTTTTGGTGACAAAATGTTCTTTGTGTTTATTTGTGTGTGCTGGAGCTCAGGGAGGAGATGAGGATTTGGGGAAGCGCTTTCCTGATGTTGCAAAATCCCATTTTTAGAGCAAGATCGCAAAATCCCAGAATCCCTGAGGTTGGAAAAGCCCTTCAAGATCCTCGAGTCCCAGCTGTGCCCGATGCCCAGAGCTCTGAGAGTCACATCCAGACATTCCTTGGACACTTCCAGGGATGGGGAATCCAAAATTCCCTGGGAACTTCCAAAGCTCAGAATCCCATTCTCTCTGAGTTCCCTTGGAGGGATCCCACCCCTTCAGTTCTGTGCTTGACACCAGAATGAAAAATGAATTTGTGATCAAAAGAATAAAATTCCTCTTCCAGAACATCAGCCAAGAGAGCCCGAGGAGAGGGTGGGAAAGAGAGGGACAAAGGAGGAAAGGCAAATTAAGGATTTCACACCTGGAATATGTTTAGGAAATGCAATTTAAAACAACTGATCCCTGTTACTGAGCTGCTGGTTTGAGATTCCTGCTGCTCTGGGCACCCTGAGCCAGGAATTCCTTCCCAAAATCCCATCCAGCCCTGCCCCTTGGCAGTGGGAGCCATTCCCTGTGTCCTGTCCCTCCATCCCTTGTCCCCAGTCCCTCTCCAGCTCTCCTGGAGCTCCTTTAGGGGCTCTGTGGTTTCTCCCTGGATCCTTCCCTTCTCCAGGTGAACATTCCCAGCTCTCCCAGAGCAGCTCCCTGGCAGGAGCAGCCCCCACACCCAGAATTGCAATGTAAATCCACTAAATCCAAAGCAGAATCCAGTAAAAAAAACCATTAGAAAATCAGGAATAAACCCAACCTTTCTCCTCTCCCTGTAACCTCCACAGACAAGAAACAGGAACTGGAAGTTCACCAGTTTGGGGTTTTAAATCCCAGACTGGATTCAAACCCAGCCCTTCCTCTCCCTCCTCCCCCAAAGCCCTGGGGAACCTCCAAGCAGGTAAGAAAATAAAAGCTCGATTAGAGCTACTGTAACTCCCCAATTGTTTAGACATAATTGTCTAAATAAAATAAAAGGCTTAATTAGCAAGATCATCAACATAAAGGCAGATTTGAATAAACATTCACTTCGTCAGTCAGCAGCAATTAAGGTTTCTCCTGATAAGAGCA